ATATCTTTACTGACGGACTCGTATGCGTGGAGATTCCGTACTCTTGCCGCGTAGTGATCTGAGATGATGTGTGTGTGGAATGTCTTGCCGTTGAGCTCGTAGTCTTTGAGCACGCTGTGTAGGAAGCCCTTGCGAGGCGCTTGGAAATCGAAGTTGTCGCTCCATAACGCAAGCACGTCGGGTGTGCAGATGTCAATGCCGCAGTCGATCAGGTCTTGGCGGACTTCAAGCTCCTGGTGGGTGGAGAGCAGTTCGGGGTCGATGGAGAGGTAGTGCGTCTGGTCTCGGTTCGGCATCTGTTCGAAGTGTAGGCATCTGTCTTTTTGCGGGTCAATTACGAAGACGGGACTTGTGCCTTGTGCCTTTGTCCTGTGAGTCGCGCCTGCCTCGCGCAGCACCATGGTCATGATAGCGTTCTTGTCCTTGGCCCGCCGCGCCCTGTGCGCTGCGAGTGCAGACTCGAGGGGCAGATTGCTGACCACATCGCCATAGACCAAGAGGAAGTCGCCAACCAGCAGGCCTCTGCTGTCCAGATCTCGCATCGCATCGCCGATGGAATGTGACGTCGACTGGATCAGCTCCAGTCGCGAGAAGGGTGACGATTTGGAGGACCATCGCGAGGCCTTGATGTAGTCTTCAACCTGTTCCCTGTGTGCGCCGCAGTATACAAAGACCTCCTCCACGCCGGCATTGGCGAGAAACTCGAACGTGTACTCGATGAGCGGGGTATTCGCGAGGGGCAGAAGACACTAGCAGGCGTCAGCGGGCGGCTGGCAATAGTCGGGGGATGCGTACTCTTGGGTGCTCGAGTGTGAAGGGACTGAAGCGTGTCTCGAAAGGATCCGCGAGTATCTACCAGGTTAGCATAATTCGCGACCAGTTGCGTTGCGCAACCTACCACAGCCTGCAGCGGCTCATCGCGCTCCTCCTCGCCGGACTTGCCCTTGTCTTGGCCTTTCTTGCCTTTCGGTGGCATCTTCGCTTTTGGGTAGTGTGTTGCGCAAAAGCTCGAGGGGCGCTTAGAATTCTAGATTCGTGGTGCACGTGGAGGGGTTTGGCCTACGACTTCCAAAAAGCTCCCACTAACTGACCACCACCGCTGAGTCACAAGCCCCCGACCAGGGACCACCACGCCTACCAGATCTTCGGGTCTCCGTCACGTCTCAGATCCTTTAGCGGGGTGGCTCTGCGGGTAAGCCGCTGCGCATGATTCTCGAACATGCTCGTGCGCGGCCTTCTGGGCTGGCTATCAAGGTCTGGACCACCAGGGCAGACATGTGCTCGGAAATGCTTATTGCGACGACACTTGCACCTGAAGGGAATGACCAAGATTGGCATGCAAAGCGAGACCTGTAGCTCTACACGAACAGCTTTAGAGTCAGTAGCTGCTGTCAGAGATTTCTGATATCCAGAGACATGAGTAATCATCAGTTTTTTCAAGACAGCCCACAATGAGGGAAGTGCGAAAAATAAGTAGTATAGATATCCTTGACGTTGGCTACTTTGACCTCCCTATGTTCGAGAGAAGAATATAATTGTTTATCTAGCAAGTAGGGTATTTTTCTAGCAACCGTCCAACCCAGACCTGATACAATGGATAGATGACCTCGAACGCCTCAGACCCTGTAGGTCCTAAATACCCTGTCAGACAGCTCCCTGAGCTACCTTATTCTTGCACCTTTTTCTCCTGTAGATACAAGAGCCGATCACGACTATCGGCCCTGAAAATGGCTGCATCGCCTTTGTCCAGCAGTGCAGTATACACTCAACACCTGTCATCCTGTAGCAGGTGGCTGCATCACATTCGTTGTGAGGCTTAATTGGCGAGACCGCTTGAACCTCTCGTCGCGCCTGCTATCAACGCGGGCGTGGTTGCATGGACCCCATCTGCTGTGGCATTTGGGGAGGGTACATTTGTTGACGCTTCGCTGGATTGTTCATGTCGTCGCCTCCAGATATTTCCGAGACTTGACGGCGATGACCCGGCGCTAGTTGTGATTGTTGCTGTTGTTGCATTTGTATGTGTGGTGAGGTGCTGTATCCCATGTTCCCGTGCATGGGGTTCACACCATATGGACCTGGGTGTTGGACTGGTTGGCCTCGCATGGCCTGCGCAAAATCGTCCGGGACTGTGCTGCCTACAGGAGAGACGTCCGGCATTTGATTGGGTGAGTTCCAGTTGCTGACCGTCTGTGGAGATTTGGCTGGAGAATCTTCCTCCTTGAGCACCAATTGACGTGCTATTTGCACAGGCTGGGGTGCCACCATGGTTCCGTCAGCCTGAGCGACTGGCTTTTTGAGATGTACAAGGTGCTTCTCTAACATGTGTAGAAGACCTTCCTTGGTGAACGGCTTAGGGAGAACGTCGTTCATACCTGAAGATATTAGTACAGAGACTTAAATTGAATGAATTTCTCTTACCGTGCTGGAAGTACATGGAGATGTCGTCACTGCGGATATTGGAAGTCATAGCAACAATCGGGGTCGTGTCAAACTGTCGAATCAAGTGGCATGCTGATACACCGTCCAGGTTTGGCATAATGATATCCATCAAGACCAGATCGTACTTTGAGCCAGCGTTCATCTTATTGACAGCCTCCAAACCATCGAGCTGTGTTCAATTAGCATGGCGTCCAAATGACGAGAGTAGATGACTTACAGCACTATCGATGGAACAGTGGAAAGCGTACAAGAATTTGCTTCCAATTCGACGGCAGGTGGGGTCGTCCTCAACGAGTAGAATCTGAGGCGGTCGAATCCATCCTGGGTCTGGAATAGCATTTTTCCTCTTTGGCTCTGGCATTCTGGGTTCGCTGGATTCTACTGCTTTGGGCGGGGCAGCATAGGGAATGTTGTTGATGTGCTCGCTGTACATGGGGTCGATACCTTGGTTGGAACCGACAGGGTAAACGAGGTTATCGAGGTTTTCCAGACGCATTGAGCCGGTAGAAGTTGCTGATGGCGGTCCACGGCTCGTCGGTCGCAGTGTTGCTCGCGCGATGTCTGGTGGTGGGGTTGTCAAAGTGCCGTTCATCCGCATGGTGATCTCGTTCATCTGCTCCAGATTTCGGGGATTCAGCATAGCATCTGCGTTTGTTTCGCTTAAAAGTTTAGAAGCGTGCTGCAATGGAGAAGCGGGGTTATCGTCATCGTTGGCTGCGGCGGGCTCCATGCTGCCGTTCTGCGAGTCAGTGCCGTTAGGGAAAACGAGCTTGCTGTTCCTCCTTTGCGTCGCGTCCACGCCATGTAGGAAAGTCATGATCTGCTGCATGACATGCTCGTGGTTGACAACCGTCTTTTGTAGCCCGATGACCTCCTGCAAAAGCATTGAATGGTGGATGCTCAGTTCACTATAGCGACTCTCGAGCGCATGCAGTTGAGCCTGCGTGGCCATCAATTGTCCGCTGACCATGTCCATCTGTTGCGAGGGCGCAAACTCTTCCGCGGCAGCTTGGTTGGGTTTTCGCGGCGCGGGGGCCTTTCGACGAATATTGTCGAGCGCGTCTTTGTTGTTCATCTTGAAGTCGGGGTGCTTGAATTCCCAGGCCTATGGGGCTGTTAGCCACGATACCCGCAGATGCATCCAGGAATATCACATACTCCAGGTCCATAAGGTGATTGTCCATTTTCTTCGTTGTTGTGACGGACTTTGTGGAAATCGTACTTGTTCAGCTGGCGGACAAAACTGGCGAAATTGCTGTGTTTGAAGTGCTTGGGAAGGATGTGCTTTGTGAATTTCTCGTTCTGTCCCTGGGTCAGCAGGTCTGCCACGATATTGAAGGCCCGAGGCGCATACTTCCAGGACGACAAAGCTGTCGCCGTCATTTCCCCATCGTACTACACTCTCGTCGCTCCCATTCTCCAGCATCCTAGATGACGTTCAGCGCGAAGCACAGCGCGCATGGGCGCGTCAACCTACTTGTACAGCTTGCGCACAAAGTCGCTGGAGTTGTTGGACCCTCCCCCACCGGCTTGGCTGGGATCCATGATGGTGAATTGGGCTGCGTTGTGGGCGTGAATGCCGCTGGTGGTGATCCGTGTTGATGCGCGACGGCACCCGGATAGTCGAGTCGATGCCTAAGGGTCTGCTGAAACCCAGTCACAGTCTTCACCACTGGAGGCGACCGCGATGGAGCTACGGGGGACGGTGCGCAAGGTTCCGGTTGCGCGTTGGAGTGGTTTAAACTTTTGCTTGGCCGGGGGCGGATCGGTGGTGGATGGGCGATGACGAAATTTCCCAAAAAGGGCGCGCCGTGTTGCAGGCGGACGGAGGGCGATGGACGAGATCTGGAACCTTCAAGTGTAAGAAACAGGGAGACATGGGCACCTCTGCGCGGGCACTTGGGAGCTAAACGGGCCTAAAGCAGGTTAACACTGGGCTCGAGAGGAATGCAGTCGAGCATGCGCTAGGAGCAAGCCAAGCGGGCGACGTGCCGAGGAGACGAGCCAGGGGGTTGCTGCTATGACAGGACACGGGACACGGCCATGAGCAGACTGAGTCGCACCCCGTTTCCACACCGCACACACATCGCGAGCGCGGCCATAGTACCTGCAGTCCTTTTTCGGCGACCATGGTACGCCGGGCGTGGCTGTCCCAGCCAATGTTTCCGTGTTTCTGCAACCCATGTCCCCACTGATTACGCCGTTGACGATTCACCACCGGCTTGAGGCACGATCGGCATACAGCAGCAAGCGTGCAGTTGGGCTGCGCTAGTACCGGTGTGGGTCGAATGGGTCAGTATCATTATCCGCAATTTGCTGCTGCACTCAAGACTAACCTGCATATATACAGCTCTTATTTATGGACACGATGCTGCCATGTGTTCCGATATTGCATACTTCGGGGACAGGCTGCACACGTCAAGTGGGACGCGGCCGGTGCGCGCGCCTGCCGTCTTCCGACCGAAATACCCCCACCACCAGTGCCTCACCACCACCAAGTGCACACGTGCTCTCTTCACACACGCCCACATACACGCACCTCTACCTGCATACACGCCATGTTCGCTACCGTCCGCCGTCTACCCCTAGTTCGTCCAGTCGCCGGTCGACGTCTGTTCCACGCCTCAGCACCTGCATTCGTCAATGTCGGTGACAAGCTGCCCAGCGTTGACCTCGTCGAGGGTTCGCCAGGTAACAAGGTGAACCTGGCCAACGAGTTGTCCGGAAAGGGTGTGATTATCGGTAAATTTCCCCTAGCGTCGACTGAGTGAACATGTGTTTGACAATGGCAAAGGCGTTCCGGCTGCCTTCTCGCCCTCGTGCTCTGAGAACCACATCCCGGGCTACATCAACTCCTCCAAGCTGAAGGATGCCGGCAAAGTCTTTGTTGTCTCTGTGAACGACCCTTTTGTCATGAAAGCATGGGGCAAGATGCTTGATCCATCTGGCTCCAGCGGTGTGAGTTCCTTGCACTCCAATGAGAAAACACCCTGTTGACCTCTGTAGATCCGCTTCCTCGGTGACCCCAGCCTGAGCTTCACAAAGGCCCTTGACCTCTCTTTCGACGGTGCATCCATCTTCGGAGGTGACCGCTCCAAGCGATATGCCTTGGTCATCGAAAACGGTGCCGTCAAAGCAGCGCACGTTGAGCCTGATAACACAGGCTTGAATGGTATGAGTCCCTACTAATTAATAGCGAATGCAGCTTGCTAAAAAGACACAGTCTCTGCGGCAGACAAGGTTCTATAGACGACCCGCGACACGTTTGCAGATAAATGCTAGGATGAATCTTCGCTACGACGACCACAGACTGCTTACAGTCTCAGAATTGGCCTACGGTGTCTATCGCAGAGGAGATTGGATACCCCATCTTCCCTATACCGATGATCAATATAACACATCATGTTCATGAGATTGCTTCGAATACGGTGACATTCTATTGAATCAGACAGCAAAACGAAGCAGTCTGGCCACCCTGCGCTAACCTCAGACTTAACCCACAAACCCTCTACACGCTCTGCACACATAGACCAACACAAACACACCATCTACTTCTTCCCAGCAAACGCGCACGTCCCAAGATCGCGCTTCTCCGCCGGAAGCTGGGGACTAATGTCAAAGTCGAAGATGTCCATCGGTAGTCCGATGGTCGTACAGGCGTTGGGGATATCGACAATACCAGCTATATGACCCTGAATCGGGGCACACGAGAGCAGGAGATAGATCTGGTAGTCGCTGTAGCCTGCAGTTCAGTCAGTGACTAATTTCCGGGAAAAACTCAAGCGTCTCGAAACTCAAAACCAACCCCCATCGCTACAAACACGACAACCATTCTCTGCTCCAAACGAAAAAGCCAATGCCAAGAAATCAAGAACGCTGGAGGTACCAAACGAGACATGAGCCTCGAACTTCACCAGGGCAGGCTAGGCCATACGCAGACCCCAAAGCTTCGCAAAAGCAAACAGACCCAGAAAAGAAGCAAACTCACCAAACCGTCTCAAATATTCAATCGCCCTCAAGCAAGTCTGACGATACGCCACCGTGGCATCAAGATAATGCTGTTTACCCTTCTCATCCACACTAAACCCCTCAAAGTAGATGTACCTGCCAGGACCAAACTGCGGCTCCACAGGACCAGGGATGTAAATGGGACTCTTCATGTCGAGCTGCTTCATGCCGCCCTTCATGACGCTGAATTTGATGGTGATGACGCCTGCCATTTCGATGGCGCCGCAGAAGGAGATTTCGCCGTCGCCCTGGGGGAGAGAGGGAGGGGTGTTAGTTCGGGTTGTTCTGTTCAGGATAGGGTTTGTGGGGGTGGATGGGAAGAGCTTACTTGGCTGAAATGTAGATCTCCTACGCTGAATTTCGCGCCGGGTACGTGAACTGGGAGGAAAACTTTGGAGCCGCGGGAGAGGTTCTTGATGTCGCAGTTTCCGCCATGTTCAGGACGTCCTGGGATTGTGCGAGCGCCTTCTTTCGCGATTTTGTCCTTCACGGAACCTGTGGCGGAGCCGGAGTGGGCGTTTTGGGGCTGTGGTGGTTGTGCAACGATGCGGTCCAGGTGCGTGTGCGTCGAGATGAGTTCGGCTTCACGCGTGTTCCAGGTTTCGAGGACTTCGGCGGAGGGGGCACAGCCTAGGACTGAGATTGTGGGGGATGTGATTAGTATCGTGTTTACTTCGAGGAGCAGGTAGATCGGGAGTATGCTTACTGCCAGGGTGAATGAGGCCTGCGAATCTCACACCAGGAATGTGGCGTGAGCTGCAGAAGATGCCTTCAAAATCCCAAATAGCCTTTGCACTGAATGTGCGTTAGTCCAAGTGTCTTGTTTTCCCCTTGGTCCTCTTCAGGCATGATACTCCTCTCGCAAACTTACGGTTCTGGGTAAAGCTCATCCAGGAATCCTCCACCGTTTTCTTTCGCAAATATACCCGTGAAACCCCATGGCTGGTCTTCTAGCGGCTGTACATCTTGAATATCAACGACCAGAACATCGCCTGGTTCCGCAGTTTCGATATCGAAAGGTCCAGTCAAGTAGTGGATCTTGGTCAAGTCGACATCACGGATATCGTCTGCTGAGTCATTGTTGCCGATTTGACCACCCGTCCAATCTACGCATTCGATCTTGACGGCTTCACCAGGTTTGATGGAGCCATAGGAGGGGTTCTCAGGATGCCAGCGATTCTATACGTGTTATCTTTGAAGATCAACTTTGGGTGTTGTGAGCATCTGACGTACGTGCAGGCATTCCTGCTCTGATGCTGGTTTATCGAGCGAGACTTTCGCCGCGTATCGGAGACCTTCCTTGCCCATATCGAACTTTGGAAGTGTATCAGGATTGGGTTATATGGAAGAGAAGAGATCAATCTGGGTGTCAAACAACAATGGAAGACGCGTCCAGTCGCGAGAGGGGCAGGTCACGTATAAGAAGCCAATAGACGCGGGGAAAGAGTCACTCTCAACCTATCAATTGTTATCTGGGACGAATAGATACGTGCCGAGGACAAGACCGAATCACATATCCACCAACTATTACTACAAGGTGGGTGATAAGCTCGATGATACGGGGCTGTTACGTTACGTATGATCGGATGGAGCTGTAAGCTACCTACCACAACGGGACGTGCTGACCCCACTGCGGGGTATAGTCATAATGGAACCATCATCGTACAGCGGCCGGATAGCGTGACAGCTAAATATACCTGATTGCCGACGGCGCATGTTCTAATTGCGGTTCGTTTTCCAAAGTGCGAAGTCGCGTGTTCGTCATGTTGAGCGGCAGTTTCCCGCTCACATAGAGTTTGTCACCCGGGGGATTCACGTCATCGCAAACTAGCTGAAGGTCTTTCGTGGTGTTTGGCGTACTTCGGATTGGACCTTGGGCTTGTGCATTGCGAGGTTGTATTCGTCCATGTGCTGCCATGGCAGATTCAGGAACTCGTGTTTATTCTTCCAGCGCAGTGACTCTTCCTTGAACTTTTCGGCTTCGGTGGGCGGGAGCGGCGGCTCTGTGATTTTCGTGATGAGGTATGCCGTGGACGCTTCGGCGAGACCGTAGATGAGGACGCCGACGAGGGGTATCTTGACAAAGATGTAGAAGCCTAGGCCGAAACCAAAGAGCACACCAGCTCGGTCTTTGAACCAGAGCTTCTTTTGCTCTTTGTTGTAGCGAACGCGTGTGAAGTAGGGCTCAAGCTGTTTAAATTAGTCAATTGAACGTGGAGTTCTCTGAGGAGATGCTTACCAGCTCTCGCATCAGAGTCCGCGATGAGAAGTAAGCTTGCAGGAAGCTGACCAGGTATCTACGGGGGAACAGCAGTGATCCCGCGAAGATGGCTGCTGCGGGCTGAGTTCCCACCGATTTCTTGAATGTGTAGAAACTGGCAGCGGGCAGCACGAAGCGTCCTACATATGGAACGTAAGACAATGCCAGTACTGCCAAAGAAATGGCCGCCTTCCTTCCCTGTTTTGTCGCATATAGCATTATAGCCTGTTTGATTGGCTTCTTCTCCTTTTCGGGCTTGGGTGCGTGGTCGGGGTATTTCTCGAGGTTTGGGTAGTACATGGCGCGGAGGTTGTGGGGGTCTTCGGTCTTGTGCTTCTGGACGTACGTCTCGTCGACCCAACGGAGGGAGTCCATGAACCTGGAGACGTTGTCAGCTAGATCTCAAAACGGCTACGAGCGTGCCTACATGCGATCCAGAGTAGGTGTGACGTAGCGCATCATGGTCATGAGGAAGAAGGGCACCTGGAGGACGGTGTGCTCAAGGAAGTGGAGGCCGTTGACGACACTCTCGTCCATGCTGGTGTGGTCCATGTTGACGAAGAGAGAGAGAATCCATAGTAGCACTCTGACGCCGACAATCTGGCTACGTTAGAGGTAATGTTTGCGTGGCATAGGGCATCCGTGAATGATTGAGACGTACGGGTATGGCGACGATGATGCGGATAGCGACGCCTGCAGCTACAGCAATAGCAGCCTGACGGTAGTGGTCCGAAGTGAAGAGACCCGGGTTCTGGAGAGCTCGATTGACTGCGGCGGTGTTAGGATGGAGCTGTCACTCACGATACCATGATGGCCTCGACTTACCGCCAACCAGAGTAAGCTGGGCTCCCCGCAGGATGGCGTTGGGGTCGAAGTTGGACACGTCGAACTGGGACATGTCGATTTTGTCCATGGTGGCAAGCTCGACAGAGGCTCAGGCAGTCTGGTGTTGCTTTGGGCGCAGCAAACGTGGATTGCGTCCACGTAGAGGTCGTGTGCGAACGCCTGCGAACTGGCGGAGCCCATGACGTACTGACAGCTCCCCACGGACCCGTCGTAGCGCAGCGCGTCGCAAACAAAGCAAGTAACGCGTTGTTGATAGGGGATGCCGTCGCACCAACAAAACACGCACCCATCTGCAGCGTCCCATCTCACACCGGCGGCATAACTGGCAACTGGACGCGCGCGGGGTTCAGACGATCCGCTGATCAGGTTGAAACTCCAAGTCGTCCCTGTGGCCAAAGCGCGTAGCGTTCCGAAGCCAGGGACTTCCAGTCCCTTCAGCCTCTCCATCACCCCCCATCTCTGCACTAACACTTGTAATACTCTTACCAAGCGCCGGCCGCTGTCTTCTGTGGGATCCTTCACCTCGACCTCGCCCTACCGGGACAGCAATGCCCCTATAAGAAGTCTATTATGACGATGCCGGCTTCATCCCAGCATCCTGAGCACGCGCCGTCTGCTCTCAACCCCAGCAACTCGAGGCGCAGCTTCACACTGCCCGCGCGCACTGCACGGAGGACTACGTCGGTGCCTGCACCGTCTGTAAACAGTGCCGATGGCATAGAGACGCTGTTTGTGTGCTCCAACTCCAAGATCTTCTCCTTCACAACAGCTGGGCCCGCTCGGCGCCTGTCACCTTCCCGCTCAGGTGACGCAGCGCATCCGATACCCTGGAAGACGCCTACAGAGCGCACACTCGCAGTCGGTATGCCATCCCATGTGTCACCGGGCTGGAACTTGTCTAACCTATCACAGGCGCTCTCCGTATCTATCGTGTGACAGCCTCCAATGTCTCCTTCCTGAACAGCGGCAACCTCCTGCACACCATCTTTCCCAGGTCTCAGATATGGCTTGTCGACAATCAGTCCGTCTTCGTGCTGCGCGTACGCCAGGACTCGTACTATCGCATCGAGCTCCCCTATGAGACGGACGACGACAAGGACAAGATCACGCAATTCAAGTCAGTATTGGCTCAAGT